ACCAGTAACATTTTCTACTATGAATCGCACAAATCAAGTGAAGTCAAAAGACATAAGTGAATAGGTTCGAAGATATATTTGATAGGCTATCAATATATAGAGGATTGACTGATTTAGACTGGCGTTCCCACTCATGAACTGGTGCGGATGCATGACCGAGCGCCTTCAGCTCGGTGAGTCCATTAAAACTAATGTGGTCAGCATCCAATGTCTTTACACTATACTACCCACACATTTATCAGTAATAATCACAGAAAATATTAATATCTCTTAAGATTATTTAAAATAATTGAAGTTATATTGAACTTAACACCGTTGGACTGGAGGTCCTAGGTTCGAGTCCTGCACGTAGGATCGTAAATACGCACTGCTAAGGAGCTCAATACTAGGACAAAACGGTTGTCCACAGCTTCCGGGTTTTCGATGGTGATCTAGCTTACATGTACTCATGAATTCAACTATTAAAATAATTTCATTATTTTATTTGTTATTAAATGTTTTACTCATCATGTTCATTACTATCGTTGATATTGATATTTCAACTATTATCTTCTTTTTCTTGTCGTTTCTTTATAGTAGTATGAACCATAAAAACTTGAACCGATACATATTTTTCAACTGATATCGTACATGGATGAGTGTTAGACCATCATTGAAGACTTAGAAAATCTGGACGGCTGTTTCATACTCAAATGTTGCTGAGGAGTTCAGTACTAGGACGGAAGGACCATTCAGTGTTTCAAAGTTTTCAATGGTGGTTTCCAGTCAGTCAGTCAGTAACAACGTAGAACTTCGTACGTAGGTATATCAGTTCGAGTTGCCACACCATATTAGCACACAGATACAGTTGTCGATTCAAATCCCGTAGTGGTAGATGTAGTAAGATTATAAGCAGTAATCGGAAGTATTAGGGTTTGAAGATGTTATTCAAGAAGTATAATCCAGTGAAATAAATTTGGAAAGAGAAAAAACTGAGACAAGGAGAATTCAGGAGATTACAATTTAAGAGAACACTAAGAGTGAATAAACTTGCGCCACTGCAAACGGTGTTGGTCTAACATTGATCCATTCATGATATCAATTGAAACTCAACAATCTCCATAACCATATACTGTTACATATATTTGTACAGGGTTTGAATTCGTCTATAGCTGACTAACGGATTGATATAAATGTTATGATTATTTTCATCAGTCAACAGTATTTCAAAATCAACTGAATTGGATGTGTGCTTTTTTTTCTTTAAAATTTATGAAATAGGTTGATATATTTTGTATTATTATTATGTAAACAATCATACTTTGAAGGCATACGATTGAATTAATGCAAAGAAAACAACAACAACAACAACAACAATAACAACCATCTACGTACTTTGTTTTAATATATCCTTAAATGTATCTTGTACAATTTGGTCAAAATTCCATTCTTTTAATTCTTTGTCAAGATTATCTGAGATCCAAACTTTCCTTGAGATCACTTCACCTTAAAAAATATAAATATAATTTATACATTGAAATATTAATAACTTCATCGTATAAAGTACCTGGATGAAAAGATGTGAAGTGAGATATAAAGTCGAAAAAAGTAAGCTGAGAGAATTGAAACATTTAAATGTCTATTTGAATGTGATGAGTAGTAGTGAGACTAAAATGCGATTGTTCATTGAGCGTGAAAAAAGACACCTAGACTTACACTCGTTACCTCTCGTGGAAGAGCATAGGCCACCCAACAGTATTCTCCATTCAACTTTGTCCAGGGTAATCATTTCCAGTTCTTTCCACTTCCCATTCATACTTTTTTATCTGCTTCCAATCCCTGACGTATTATGTTATTAGGCCTTTCTTTTTTCCGTTTCCTCTCAGTATTACAAGTTAGTGTTTGCCTCGAGATGCAGTTTAGTGATTCCCGTAATGTATGTCTTATCCACTTCCAAAGTCTTTTCCTAATTTCCTCCTCAGCTGGAAGCTGGTTTGTTCTCTCCCGCAGTAGGCTGTTACTTGTGATATTCGGTCAACGCACATTGGGTATCTCACGTAGATAACTGTCTATAAATACTTGTACCATTTTGATGATGGTCTTGATAGTTCCGCAAGTTTCAGCACTGTACAATAGAACTGTGTTGGCGTTCATATTGAGGATTGTGAGTTTGATATTAATTGACAATTTTTTTGAGTTCCATATGTTCGTCCATTGTAGGATTGTATACCTTGCTTTGTCAATCCTCGTCATTACGTCTGCATCAGATCCTCCACGTCCATCGATGATGCTGTCCAGGCAGGTAAGTAAAAGATCCTCTATTTTTCTCCGTGTTGTATTTGAGGATGTTGATTTTTCCTTTTGTGTATGTTGAGGCCGAACTACAGTGCAAAGTTGTGCATGGAAGACACCTAAAAGATGCACCTCAAGTGGGGACTGGGGTTAGATAAGCCTGCCTACTCTCCCCCTTCCTCTTTCTTTCGATGGTTGACTGGATTATGAAGACCTTGATTTTGTTTCCTCTCACTGATTTCTATTCCGGACTGAGTTTGACTGTTTGTAACTGTATCTAATAAAGTATTATCTAATGTTGATCTAGTTCTTTATTCTGGTTTATGAGTCCTGGATCTGATATAAATCGACTAGTCTCATTATCGTAGTACATCTGAATCATCGGTGTCAAAGCCGAGGCAAACTGTTCTACTGTGCATAGATTACATAGATCAATATAGTTTAGTGAGGACCATTTTTTCTCTTTGAATTAGTTCGGATTGATGACACATCTTACTGATCAAAACTGCTCGTATGAACTGTGACGAATGATATTTTTAGTCCTATTCTGTATTAAAAAATGTTCATATTTTTACAGTTATACTCGAAAATTATATGATTGTATACTTTAATTGTAAAACATTTTGTGATGTCTCCAAAAAATGTCATTAACATGTAGTCTAGAAAGAAGTGCCATCCGATTGTTTTTCTTAGTAACATTTCTTGTCAGTACGAGACGTGATTAGTTGTTGCCTATATGTGTACTATTACGACGGGGATATGTATTTATATTTTTTTGTTTTCTAGACGTAGTCTCATACTTTGTAGTTCCTTCCCTCTCATTGGCTGGTTGACAAGGTTAAATGGATTATAGGCTAGGAGTTAATTGGTTCAAGTTCGAGCCTTTAATTATTGGTCGTTCTGTTAAGTTTATAGCTTGTAAGTAGTATATTGATAGGCTTTTTCTTAACAAAATTTCTTAATTTTGACTAGTATACGGGAAATTCTCATTACATTTAAATTCCGTTATCATTGAAAGGACTAAACAAACATGAAATTAATCATTAATTAAGGATCAGCCAGTAGTCAATATTTCAGTTTTGCAAAGGGTCAGCTACAACCTGAAAAAACTCAGTGGTAAGGTCTCAGACTGTGAACCTAGTTAACATGGGGTGGAATAATGCAAGGAACGTCAGTACCATCGAGATTACAGGCACAACTTACTGAAAAGTGTCACATAGTACAAAAACCTACATCAATAGTTTCTTTTCGATTATCTCAATTTAACGAACAATAGTATTATTCCTTATTTATCTCACTTAATATATTAAATATTTCATTTAAAGTATGAAAAAGATTTCAGTTTACAAAATGTTTAATCTTTTAGCTTATTATTCAAGATAGATGTCTTCTTTTGAAGAGATATGGAAAGAAAAAGAATCGAGAAATAATATATCCATTCTATTTACTTACGTGGAGGTGTTTTTTCTTTTCCAGTTGGTAAAACTGTTTTTAACAGGTCGTCTAAGTCTAGTTGATCATCAAAGAACTTCATAATATCTTTCCCTGTTAGATTATTTTTTCTACCCATTGTAAACCAAGAAGTTTCCGTTTCAATTGAGCTTTCATCTATTTTGACATGAAAAAAAGAATGTGATTTTTTATCGACAAATTAAGATGAGAATTTTCCAAAGATTTTTTTGTACAAAGTACAATTGAATTTAAGTGAATACTTACTTATGCCTGTTACTCCTCGTGAAGGAGCATAGGCCGCTCACCAGCATTCTCCAACCAACCCTGGCCTGGCCAATCATTTCCAGCTTCTTCCAGTTGTTATTCATTCTTTTCATATCTGGTTCTATCTCCCAACATAATGTGTTCTTTGGCCTTCCTCTTTTCCGCTTCCCTTCAGGATTCCAAGTTAGGGCTTGCCTCGTGATGCAGTTTGATGATTTGTGTAATGTATGTCATATCCATTTCCATCGTCTTTTCCTAAATTCCTCCTCAGCTGGAAGCTGGTTTGTTCTCTCCCACAGAAGGCCGTTGCTGATGGTATCCAGCCAATGGATGTTGAGTATCTTGCGTAGACAACTATTTATAAATACTTGTACATGTTTGATTATGGTTGTAGTGGTTCTCCAAGTTTCAGCTCCGTACAGTAGAACTACCTTGACGTTCATATTGAAGATTCTGACTTTGATATTGGTTGAAAGTTGTTTTGAGTTTCATATGTTCTTCAACTGTAGGAATGCGGCCCTTGCTTTGTTAATCCTCACCTTTACATTTGCATCTGATCCTTCTTGTTAATCGATGATGCTTTCCAGGTATGTGAAGGATTCTACACCTCCCAGAGTTTCACCATCAAGTGTGATTGGATTGGTGTTCACCGTGTTGTATTTGAGGATCTTGCTTTCTCCTTTGTGTATGTTGAGACCTACTGATGCAGAGACTGCTGCTGCACTGGCTGTTTTCACCTGTACTTGTTCATGTGTATGGGATAGGAGGGTTTGGTCATCTGCAAAGTCTAAATCGTCCAAATGGTTCTGAGCTATCTATTGTATTCCGTGCTTTCCCTCAGAAGTCGAGGTCTTCATAATCCAGTCAACCACCAGAAGAAAGAGAAATCGGTAGAAGAGACTGTCTTGTCTGACACCGGTTTTTACTTGGAAAGCGTCTGTCAGCTGTTGTGCGTGCACCACTTTGCACTGTAGTCCATCGTATGAAATCTGGATGATATTGGCAATCTCAGGTACTCAATAGTGTCGAAAATTTAAGTGGATATCTAACAAAAAATTAGAGTATCGGATAACTGTTTCATTGTAGCATACTACTTTTCACTAGTATGGATTTCTGAACATGTCAAGATTATTGTATTGTTCGTTATCCGGATAACCTATTTTAGTAGTATTTTATTGAACGTGAACATAAGTGGGAACAATCGAATGTATTTTAATACAAAATTGCAGAACATTTTAGTAAAATCTGAGAACCATACAATAAATATTTCATTTGCAAAATGTAAATCAATCGTCTCAGACTTCATTGTTCTTTCATTTCCATACCAATCATTCTCTGTTCCTACTCTTTCTTTCTTAAATCTTCTTAACCTTCTACCACTAGGTATTTCACTTTCGATTCATGATACATACTACTTATATCTGTCGACATCAGTAGCACACATCACAATATTCTTATTTATCTTTTCAATCTTTACATATTCATAGTAATTGAAAAGAAAATTATCACAGGTTTCATAGTGATTTATTTATCTTTTAAATGTCAATCTAACCAATAAGATAATTGTAGATTGTGTTACTTATTTAAAAAAAAGAAATCATTAAAGCATAATTGATTCTGTCATAATAATAAAACGATGAATAAGTATGTGAAGCACAAAGACAGGGGCTATTTAGCGACTCCAAATGGATCGTATGGATGTTATTGAAATATACATATCGTCAATCCTCGTGTAAAATTATCAACTTAGATCGCGTTAAGGAATAACGGAATTAAATAAGTCAAATATGAGAATTCATTTTCGAATACATATATTTTGTACAATCGTCGATTAAAACAGATAATCAGAGAGACTTAGCGAAGGAAGCGAAGAAGAGAGCGAAACAAAACAGCGTGCAGTTGAGAAGGCATGTGAGTGAACTCTATTTAATCAAGCTTTAATTAATATTTATATTCACACAAAAATAAGTTACACACATGTGATGAATAGGATAAGAAGTGTACTCACACATACGCTCATATAGAAACAGTCAACGTTGATAAGTGAATAATTAACAAGATCAAAATATTACTCAAGAGGAATGAACAAATTGTCTTATCCAGAAGCTAGAATAAGGTGCATGGGCTTAACATAGCAACTGACACTATGAATACACACTAAGCCGTTTAAAATTCATATAATTAAAGTTTTAACAAATCTACTTAGTTGCCATTGAACATTTCTAAACATTACTATAAAATTATGTACTTATATTAATTTAATAGTTGAATTCATGAGTCAGTTGAAGCTAGGCCACAATGGAAAACCTGGAAGCACTGGACGGCCGTTACGTTCTAGTATGGGATTCCTCAGTAGTGCGCATCCATAATCTTGCCTCGCGAGATTCGAATCCAAAAAATCCCTCTCTGATTATTCCTTATATACTGTTATTGTATAATATGAAATTTATTCATTTATGCAATATATCCTCAAATATCTTGAATTGGATATCACTATTTTTCTAACCAGAATATATATATTCCCTCTTTTCAATTATTATGTGTAAAGTAATCAGAATAGTAATTGCACTAGCGATTATAAGTAGTAGTATAGATGTACCATACCTGAATTTTTACTTCCATTCTTACGCTCAAATAAATCTTCATCTTTTGTTTGATTGTTAAGATAATTGAGTAGATCTTTATCAGTTATATTTTTATCACCCAATTTAACAACCCATGTTGTTTCAACCACTTCATCATCTGAATAAAAAAGAAACAGAGATGAACAAAGCATGTATGATAACAAATGGTAAAGTTTCCTTTCATGGAACATAATCACTGTGCAGTTCAAATAGATTATATTAAATGTAATAGTTAAAAATAAAATTTACATGAATAAGAATTCTTTGACGAGACTATAGTTTATAGATGAACTAAGGAGATATAAAATAACAGGTTTTGGATTTTGACTTGAAATTTACTCATCAATTTGGTTAAATAGAGTTTAGGCATTACAACTGATATCCGTTTGCGACGAAAACATCGAATCTAATTCCTAACTCTTATCATCAACCATAAATCATTATTCTAATTCCTCACACTGGTTTATAACTTTTATTCGGTACTAGTTATTAGGTGGACACACTCAAGGTCGATCTAGCGTCGCTCAAAAGTCGTCCATCAATTTTAGTCTTCAATTCTTTTGCTGTACAGTATAGTTTATGAGTTAATACTAATAATGAAATATATGCAATAACAAAAGATACTAATTTGAGTGTAGCAAAACGACAAGTTTACTTGTAGTGACAAGAACAATAAAAATTTGAATCAGTGTTTTCAAATGGGAAGTAGATCAAAACTTAAAAGAAAATAACTACAAAATGTTACTTAATAAGAAGTTTGTGAATGATCAGTCTAGTATAGTGACGAAGAGAAACAAAAGAGATGTCAAGCGTCAAACCACTGGTAGAAAGAATTAATTTATAGCCTATTAGACTTTCTCTAAGGTTATTAGTATAACTGTATATATTA